TATTCCTCGCTCTACAAAACTCTATTCTTTGAGAAAAACTTTACTTAATTGTCTTTACTTACTGCAAACAACACTAGAAAGTACGTTGCTGAAAAACCTAAGAAGTATGAAAATTTAGCGTGTAAATTTAAAAGGCAAATACTATCTATCCTTCCTCCTGTCTCCTTACTAGTAAATATCCACCTTAAGAAAGGTTAATTTTTTAAAATGTCTACTTTTTTTATGAAAATAAGGCTTTAAACATTTAAAATATAAAATACATATTTATGTATTTTGCATTGAACTAATTTTAATGTGTATTTGTTTGCAGGTATGTACGCTTCATAATACATCTAGATTAAATACTTTAAAGAAACGTAAGTTGATTTAAATTTGCTTGAAAAAACATTGATTTTATTGACCATATTGATCATTGAATAATGTGGCATCATCACTGAAATTACAGAGGGCAAAGACCTTAAATTAGACTTTTTGGACATAAAAATCGTATTTACATTAGAACTGTTGATGATATCTCAAAATTATTTATCATTATGTTGTAAGTTTAATATTTTCATTTGCAATTTATTTATTTGGTAGAATAGTCGAAGTAGTTAGGTAATCATAACATGAGATAAATTCATACACGTGTCTGAATAAATAATAATTTAAAAGTCATTGAGATACTTGCGTATCTGAATAGTTCTTTTTTCCTCTTATCTGAGAATATTGTAAACAATAATTTTGTACCCAAACCATTTGTATATATATCTATACACGTTTGCCTGAATTAATTTCATAGTATAAAAGTACTTAGGCCTTATGTAATAAAAATGTAGTATTAACCTTACTTTTTTTTTTAATTTTCTTATTGACATTTTGGCAGTATTAATTCTTTGAAATAAGTCAAATGTAAGGATAATTTTAACAAAAATTTGACATCCTACACCAAAAAATTGGCTGCCCACAAAGGCCTGGATAATTTTTTATGACTCAATGTTGAGACTGTTTCTGAGGAAATCAGGTTCGCTTTTGCAGATAATGTTTTAATTATGTCAAGAAAATCCATAGCCTATGCCGAGACGGTTATCATTCAAAATAATCCATTACATCCATTACTACAGTGGTAGAGTAGCGAAGGTTGTGGGTTCGAATCCCGCTAGTGACACTGATTTTTTAAATCTCAATACCTTTCAGAAATATTAATTAATTGAAATAATCCATTACAGTTCGTGGTGCGATTGACCAGTTAACTTTTTTCAATTAATTAATCTTTATGAAAAGGTATTGGTTGATATAAAAATATTTGATAACTTCTGAAAAAATGGCAAAAAGGAGGGAAAATTCTAGAAGTGTGGTCGAGATGGGTGGTGTCCGAGCGGATCGAAGTCACGATAACTCAAGTGGTAGAGTAGCGGCGTATTTAGCCGAAGGTCGTGGGTTCGAATCCCGCTCGTGGCACTGATTTTTTTTTATCTCAACCAATACCTTTCACAAATATTAATTAATTGAAATAATCCATTACAGTTCTTGGTCCGATTGAGCAATTAACTTTTTTCAATTAATTAATCTTTATTAAAGGTATTTGTTGAGATAAAAATATTTGAAAATATTTTGAAAAATAGCAAAAAGGAGGGAAAATTCGAGAGGTTGAGATGGGTGGTGTCCTAGCGGATCGAAGTCACGATAGCTCAAGTGGTAGAGCAGCGGAGTACTTAGCCGAAGGTCGTGGGTTCGAATCCCGCTCATGACACTGACTTTTTTACCTCTATCAATACCTTTCATAAAGGTTAATTGATTCAACATAATATGAAATTTAACCTTGATAAGTTAAATTTGTTCAACGTTTACGAGACATGACCTGACATCGGAGAATGATGGGAGTATAATGGTCTTATGTTAGGGAAGTTTTTGACTATCGAATTTTTTCACTTTATTTGGATACAGCATAACATATGCCGATGTAATTTTTTTACAATACAAAATACCCACGCCGTTGGCCAATTAGAAACGATCTTTCAAAAAAATTAACAATTAGAAAATTTAAATGCTATGCTGATTATGATAGTTCAGATGCAGCTGCTTAAAATCCGTATAAAAACGTCCAGTATACACATATATCTTGTTTTTTTTTGTTTTTCAATTGGTCTGCGTTGTGTTGCTCGCCATAGGAGGGCTTTCATACGGTTCGTTGACTTTGACGGTTCGCCGACCCGATCCCCCCGTCTAACAATCCGAAGCATGTTTCCCCCCGAGACTTTAATGGCTGTTTTGAAGAGAAACTTACGCCCGGAGTATAATTTAATGCGTTCTGCCGAGAAATGTGTTTTTTCACTATTATCCATAAATGTATCCAATGCGAGTTTGTATTTATTGGCCTGCCTTGAATTATTTCACTATTCACCACGTGTCTTTTATTCTCAAATAGAAGGAATGACCGGCCGAACCGGTTCAATTATCCGTAGTCTAATTTGAAATTTAAAATATAAAATTGTCCACGAGAAGAATCCTTTAGTATTTCGAGCCGTTTTTTTTCTAACATAGTCTTGGTTGAAAATCTTGCCCAGACTGGTGGAAACGACCGAGGCTTCACCCTACCCCCAGGTTTGATGACCCTAGGTTCATCACTCGGCAGACCTCAAGAAGAAATACGGTTTGTATAATAGTCATTGATTTAGTAATTTAGTAAGTTTGTTAATTTCTTTACATTTTTTTAAAGAGTAATCTCATTGAGACATGTTTTATATTATTTCGTTCGCTTATTATTTATTCCACCTGTGTTTTTTCCCTTTCATCATCTTTTTAGGTTTTCTGCTATTTACAAAAGATCTCATGGTTAGACTCCTGATATAAAAGATGAAGAGTTAACTGGAAATTGATGGAACTTCTATGGAAGTAAAAAGAAAGTGACTTTGGTGATGCGACAGACTTTGTTGGATTTGGTTTTCCTTAGATGAAGCGACAGGACAGTGAAGTTCGAAGCATCAAGTCCTGATTTCGTAAATATTTCCTAACACAGATTTACTTTCTTTTTCAAGTTATGGAAATTAATCTTTTCACTTTAGTCTGGATCACAGTTGCTTGGTGTATATCATAGGTAATAGATTGAATATGGAAATAGTAATATCGATAGTTGTCAGGGAGGAAGGTTGATCTTGAGGTAAAAATCACCAGCTTGTATTTGGATGTTTTGTTCCAGAGTTTGATCTCTTGAAGATGGTATTGTCAAATATGACTGAGTTGGTCTATTTACTGTCTGGGTAGGAATATCGGCGGCGAAAGTGTTGTGAAAGGTGAACCATATATATAGTTTAACATACTATATATAGTATGTTAAACGCCTGAATACTGCACACAAATATTTTAAACTTCTGGATAACGCACACGATGTGCGGCATTCAGCATGCAGTGTGTGTATAATGTATATATATATATATTGCAGGGTGGGCGACCAAGACCCGAGGGGTTAAATGCCTGGGTAGACTCGTACCCCATCCCTAAAAGGTCCGGAACTTGGTCGGCTCACGTGTCCTGCATAAATCTCTTGGATCTGTTCACAAACCCCAAGATTTTGGACATTTAATCTCGGGGAGTGATTTAGTGATGTCCTCTCCTTCAAAGATTTCAAAACTATACCTAGCGTACCTATCATACTCTACGAGTTAGTGCCTTGCCGTTTCTTCTTTTATTTCGTAAAAACGGCAAAAGGGATCTGGCAGAATACCCATTACGGAGAGGTGTCTTCTCAGTGGGCAAAAGGTGAGCCATAGGGCTTTGGGTGATTAAAATTTGATTTTGGTACAAGGTAAAGGTTGAGAGGGTCTATATTCAGTCGGAAAGTAATTAGAACAAGTGGAAGAATTGAAATAAGTGTGGCGGTTGACAAAAAGCTTACGTGGAATAAACTCCTGGATATGGAATACAGCAGCTCGACCAATAGGTTATCGAAATCAGTCAGAGTCTATTGGCATATTGTATACATTCAGTCGGAAAGTAATTAGAACAAGTGGAAGAATTGAAAAGGGAAAGTTATTTGCGATAGGATTAGAAAGGCGTGTGTTTCTTATGTGCAAAAAGTAAAATGAATTTATCGAGGTATGCCATGAAACCTTTAAAGATACCAAAGTCATTTAACTTTCAGGGTAGGAATATCACCGGTGAAAGTATTGTGAAAGGTGATCAAACATTGATTTTGGTACAAGGTAAAGGTTGAGAGGGTCTATATTCAGTTGGACAGTAATTAAAACTAGTGGAAAAATTGAAATATTCCAATATCCAAAACCTTGGGAATTGGAATCTTTGGTAGTCCCAAGCCACGACCGTACGACGAAAGTCAAACGACTTATGAAAAGTCCAACTTAGTGAACAAAATACACTATAAGTACATGATAAGTTTTAAAATACTACTTGGATTTGACCCAAACCGGGCTTAAAAGTTACAAGAAAAATCCAGCTTAAAACCGGTACCAAAAATGCCAAAATCGAATAGTGAGGAAGTTGTACGGGAGAAAACGCAAAAATGGCTAAAAATTTTGATTGAATTTTTTATTTTAATCGCCCGTCACTCTGCGACCCCCCAGTCCATTTGGCTGAAAAACAATCCCAACCTTCCTTATAGGATTCTTTACCATCCTGCCAAATTTCATTGCCATCAAAAATGCGAACGTTAGAGAACGCTAGATTTTTGAAAGAAATTTGCCAAAAATTAAACGTCAAGGTTTCCTGATATCAAATTGAGTGATGGAAGTATCGAAACAGGAAACCGTGACTAGTTAAAAGGAAACTGATTTAATTTTGGTAAGGTTTATCAGAGGTATCAGATCAAGCATTTAATCCTGAAATATAAGCTTAATTAATAAACTAAGACATATTACATATAACATCTTAACTTGGCTCCGGGGGGGGGGAGTAATTCCCCTTTGGATCCGCCACTGGATATGACTATAGTTTTGATGTGGATTCTTTGTTGTAGTAAGTAACACATGATGATGAAAGCGTGTTTAACAGATGTTGATAAAAAATTAGAACCAAAATCTTTTATTATTTTCCAAAATTGATTGTGTGACCGTAGTAGAGAAAGTGTAAAACGGCTATTAGTATGATAGAGAACCACGGTGGTATGATGTAGGGCGGGCTTGATTTTGACATTTGCACAATGTCGTTTCTCCTCGGCAATGCAAACTGGAAAGCGTGCTCAATGGAGGAAAAGACACTCGGGACGCCGATTTCCCCGCAGGCGATCCCCCAGGAAGTAATGCCGAAAACGAAGCCGTTGCAGATTATAGGACCGCCGGAGTCGCCTGTGCAGACGTCGCTGCCGTTAACGCCTAAAGCGCAGAACTGGCCGCGTAGATCCAATTTGTTGCACATATCCTTTTCATGTTTGCAGTATAGTTGTTGACACTCGTCGTCGGGAATCATTGTGGTCTCGATCACCTTTAAATGTGAGGATATATTTGAGTAAGTGCCCGATGTGACGTTCTGCGTGCCCCAGCCGACTGCAGTGCATTTCGTCCTCGAACGCTGCATGCGTTGCAGTTCCTTCTTCACCGCTCGGAGGTCCCTGGAATATATTTTGATAGGTTTGATGTTGTCGGCAAAAAAGAAAGGACGCAGGAGGTTAATGACACCGTAGTCGTACGTCCAGCCGTGTGTGACCTGTTTGCATTTGTCGTGGTTGATGATATAAGCGGCTTCCCTTTTTTGCCCATGGTACCCTTTCATGTCCTCACTTCCGGCTACTACTATCATATTCTTGGGGTTGAACAATTTGAATTGATCGGTAAAATATTTCCCAAGGCAGTGGCAAGCGGTTAGGATTGTGTTCGCCGTTATAATAATCCCTCCGCACCGTAATTCCCCAAGACGATCCTGGATGCTGCAGACGAAGGGGAACTCGTTCGGTTCAGCCTGCCGGCCTTGGATGATGTTGCCGACTTCTTCTTCCGGTCGAGCCGATACAGAAACTAACAATCCAAGAATTGAGACAAAATGAATTTGTACTACTTTCATTATTTCAAAAACTAAAAGATATCTAAAGTTTAAAAAAAAACTACAAAATTACCATATGTCTCTATTTCTACACTTTCACAATATAAATAATGCGTCCAAATGTTTTTTATATTTTATTTATTCTCAACCAATAAAAAAACAAATAAAACCCAAATGCGGTAATGTCCTCAGTGTTAACAACGTATTCTATCATAGTCAAACCATGCTGGTCCGAAATAGGTGTCTTCACACGCGGGTTTATTGAATTACCAAAACGTTTTCGGGTTTGTGCCATCTTCAGTGAGGAACAAGTCCTTTCAGCCTGGCTTTTTTGGTTGATGCTGGTGTTCGCCGAAACGCGTTTGAGTAATTCAACATACTCGCGTACTATGTGCACATGCTCAACATTTTAACACTTGTCCAGGGTGAAAACTCTCATGGAATGGTTACAAAGATGAAATAATCTAAGAAGGAAACGACTAACAACAAAATTCGTAGCTACTCGAATGCACGATCCCAACCATCCAGTAGTTATGGGACTGGATGCTTTGGTTGTCACAGCCTTTAGTGAACTCCACAAACCACCTAGAGTCACGCCCCCACTACTTGAAACTCATATGAAAACGAAAAGCATCTTTCTGGGAAAAATCATCCGCTCGTCAAACAACTCCACTGGCTTATTCCACTCTTCTCACCTAAGGTTATAACGTGCCTACAGGAATAGAAAGGTGAACAGGACTATATTAAGGTCTGTTTTGAGACTGGTAGAAGCCCCCTGGCTACGGTAGTTTATACAGATGGCTCAAAATCCCAGTATGGGGTGGCGGCCGCAATACTTAATATAAATAATGACTATTCCAGGCAGTTTAAACTTACACCTTTGTGTACGATCTTCTCCGCTGAAGCTATAGCCACAAGGGAAGCTATAAAATACATTAAACAGACAAAACGAGCCAAGACCACAATTTGTCCGGACAGCCGGTTCTGACGGCCCTGAAGAAAACGGATACTCCTGAAGATCCCATTATCTTAGAGATCAAAATCATTTTGTTAGCCTGCGGAAGCGGTATTCATCTTCTCTGGGTCAAAGGCCATAAAAGCAACCGGTTTAACCAGCGGGTTGATGCATCGGCAAAGGAGGCTGCTCTATCGGGAAACGACATCACAGAGATCTCAGCCTGGGACATTGTATCGCATAATACAGTCTTAGTACGTAAGAAATGGATAAGCGAGTACGAACGATCATCCAAAAGCAAAGGCATCTGGTACTCTGCCTCCCAACGAACATCTAGTCTAAACCGTGGTTTTCAAACGTCAAAAGAAATAGAAAATTCTTTACCCCTATATGTAGACTGAGGTTCAACCACAATAGACTCCCATCACACCTGCATAAGATAGGAATTATGCAAACAAGCAAATGCTCGTGCGACGATACCTCAACGGCGGACGCAAACCACATCATACTGGGATGCCCGCTGAAGACTACCGGAAGAGAACATATTTTTAAAGCGCTCAAGAAATGTAAAATCCCTCTCACCACCTCGGTAAACTTAATACTAAACTACAAACTGCATTGCAATACTAGATACCGTATACAAATTCATCACCGATAACGACATAGATATTTAAGATATATAACCATCCTTGAGGCATAGTGGCGCCCGGGGACCGTTGGGGGACATCTCCGGCGTTATGCTCCGGACCGGGGTGATGGTGTTGGACTTTTCCAAAGTTTACAATGTAAGGTTTTTATCTACCATCGGGAACAGTCTATTATGTTGAGAATTTTCCCGTTACAAATGGAGAGCCCAGGTGTCCTTCCTGGCCGGTCTTGGGGGCTGTGCTGGCTCGTTGGGGGCCGCCTTCCGGGGGCCGGTAACATCAAGCAATGAATGTAGAAGGCTAGATGTACAATAGTTCAAGGCCAAAAGAAGATCAAATAACGGAATGGTATGAACAAGTACTAAATACATTCTGAACCGGCACTGGCCACTAATTGGGTCCGTCTTCACTCACGGGTTTTGGGTTCCAACGACATGTAAGCCCGACAAAATGACAGTTCCTCATTTAAGCCCATTGAAGGCGGACCCAATAAGTGACCCTATGCCGGTTCATCATGGGTTCACCGACTTGCAAACCAAACCCCAGCGTTCCCACACAAACTACATCAGCGAAACAAAACTATTACATAAAGGAGTAAAACACAACATAAAATCCACTAACATAGACAAGCCATAATAGCCACAGATACAATAATTGGCTTTTTACCCACGACATATAAGAACGAACAGTACACCTAGCAGCTAAAACAATAAGTACTTAAAACTAGCGAGTGAAAACGGACCCAATGAATGACCCTATGCCGGTTCAGCATAACTATGAAATAATACATTGTTAAAACTGAGGTCACATACTTGACAGAATGATTCTGCAGCGTTTCTCAGGGATTGGAACTATATTAGTGAGAGGCTTCCTCAAGGAAATATCCTGGGCCCATTTCTTTTTTCAACTTACACTGCAGACATTCCTCGCACATTTTAACAAATGTGATGATATAGCCATTCCTATTAGTACTTTAGACACACAACATCAACATGTCATGAGACCTTGCATACTGTCATCCAGTAAATAGTACCTCAATACTTGCGTGTATTTTGTTCACTAAGTTGGATTTTTCAACGCAAACGACTTTTGTCGTACAATCGTGGCCTGGGACTCTACCAAAGATGCCAATTCCCAAGGTCTTAAATCTCTTTAATCTAAGCACAATAACCTACACATCCCGGTTTTATATGTCATAATCAAAGCTTGTTACAAAAAATTCCGTAGTCACTTAAAACGCAGAACAGCTTCTATCCGTTTTTAGCCTAGCTGATACTCGCTTAGCCGAATATGACTCTGGGATCTCTAAAATTTAGGGAAGAGAGGCTTTCAGAGTTCAATTTTTTAATTTTTTTCAAAAACATATATCGTAGCATAGGAATTGCTGATTTATCGAGGTCTAATAGCCGTAAACTGCGACCCATAAACGAAAAACGACCAAAAAAACACTAAAGTAATCATAAATTATGTTTCCACGTGACTCAAACGTGTCTGGGAACTGGAACGTGTCGTGAAAAATCTATAAAAGCCCCAAGATCCGTTTCTTGTCACGGAATTCTTCCTCAAATAAACAAATAAGAATTTTCGTGACTGGAGGAGACATCTCGTACATTTCCACGATTTTCTCCGCCCAAACTGGGACACTCGGAATCTCGCCTGTTATGGAATGCTTCGGCCTTAAAATAACAAGACTCTATGTTGAAAACATCCACAATCAACAACTTGTGACACTTCTGACCTGTATTGACGTACAAATTGTAATTAAAACCCGTAAAATATTTTCCCAGTGTTTGTCGGCAGAATATTTCAAATAGTAATACGCTGTATACGAAACGAATAATAATCAAATTAACGCTCAATGAATTGCATTAAAATCAATGGTTATTAGGTAGGTAGATCATAAGAGTTGTAAAAAAAAACCTTAGTTGATTAAATAAACTATTTTCTTTCCCAGATGTCTAATCCGTCTCTTTATCAAGTTCCATAATTGTTCGTTCTGAAGGTTTCATTTTAGGAGAACATGCTTACCAATTCTTTGTGCTAATCCCTACATCCTCCAAGTATTGGGTGACAACTCGAGCTACATGCGGTCGAACATTATGATGCAATAACACGAAGTTGTCCTCAATAAATTGAGCGAAAACCACAACTTCCAAGAAGAACATCCTCAATGTACCTTCATCAGTGATGCCCAGTGATGAGTTACAAGTTGGATTTTGAATGCGACGTATGTTGGTTGAAAAATTTCAATCGAGTGGGCTAGAAATTCGTTAGATGTTTATGGAGCGAGGGAGGTTTGTCTGTCTTTTGCTTTAAGACACCTCTTCGTGGGTTTTAAACAGTTAATAAACGTTGTCTTGAAATGTGAAGACCTGGATTACTTTTGTGTCACCCCAATGATGGATTCGGAAAAAGCCAGATATTAAAAGGTCTCAACAACATACTTCTTACACAGTGGAAACCCCCTTAATTAAAATGATCCCAAACCAACATCCAGCTCTTACTGTTGCTTCCTGCACTAGGCAAAATCCTTGAAAAGCTCATTCTAAAAATATATCAATAACTGGAACTGCTAATATCCTACCTTATCAGTTGTTTGGTTTCCGAACATTTCATTCAATTATACAACAGGCCCAAGTGGTATGACACCCTGGTTTGCTGTAGAAGCTCAAGCGCTTAATACATAAATCCTATCCATACTGACTGCCTTTCTTCCTATATTCCCATTAAGTCGAGATGTCTCCCAGGGCAGTATCCTAGGACCCTTGTTATTCTAAATATACATATACTCATTTGCTCGCAGCCATTCTATCAATCATTTCCTAGTCATAACATCCAAGATTGAAATGACAGGACACTAATATATGCAAATTAATCTTTTGCTTTAATTGCTTGACCGTCTTATACCTCGCTACCAAACTCTCCGCTCAAACCAAAAACTGTCCTAAGACCAACATGTCCAAGGAATTGAATTTTAGGGATCACAGGATCATCTTCAGGGCCTGGGATGTATAAAAATTGTTTAATTTTTACAAATCAATGTAAGATGTAAAAAAATGACATCGAAATTGCTCACTGGTTACCAGACACCTGGCTATGACAGTACCAGTTAGTCACAAATAGCAGAGTACCATAATACTTCTTGATTATCAGTTTGTGTAAAGAGGTGTCCACTTCATGTGTTTTAAGCAGTTAATAAACGTTGTTTTGATATGTGAAGACCTGGATTACTTTTATGTTGCCCCAATGATGGATTCAGAAAAAAGCCGGATATTAAAAGGTCTCGACATACTTCTTATACAGTGGAAACCCCCCGTAATTAAAATTATCACAACCCAACATCCAAGCTCTTACTTTTTACCTTTCAATACTTAAATCCTATCCATACCAACTGCCTTTCTTCCTTTATTCCAATTATGTCGAGATGTCTCCCAGGGCAGTATCCTAGGGCCCTTGTTATTCTAAATATACATATACTCATTTGCTCACAGCCATTCTATCAATCATTTCCTAGTCAAAACATCCAAGATTGAAATGACAGGAGACTAATATATGCAAATTAATCTTTTGGTTTAATTACTTGACCATCTTATACCTCGCTACCAAACTCACCGCTCAGCCCAAAAACTCTCCTAAGACCAAATGTTCAAGGAATTGAATTTTAGGGATCTCGTGGGTCAAATCCAATTCCTATAAATACAATTCATCCAATCAGAAATACTAGGGAAAACATTAAACTTTTCTTTGTTCTTTCCAAACAAACATTGTTTCATGATCTCCACATCCCATAAATTCAATCCCGGGTATAACGTCCACAAATTTTAAACCTTAATCTTAATCCGTTTGTCCAGCATCTTTTTGGAATACACATTTTCATTGGGTCAGTTTTCAAATTTATCATTTTTGAAATGATGGTTGTTAAGAGGGAGGGGGATTCTGTTAAATTAAATTTAGACTTTTTATGATTACATAATTTATTGGTTGAATTCTGTGTAAATCGATCCAGTTTGCTATCTAATTTTATACCATTGAAAAAAAAGTAATCTCGAGAAAGATCAGGGTGAGTTCGATCAGTTTCCAATTAAATTGTAATTTTCCACCCTTATAAGGTGAAGAAACGTGTTTTCACCCTATTTGGTGAAAGGTTAAAGTGAGGGGGCAACTGGCAAAGAATCATTTGAACCTCATAAACATTTTTACCAACAGTGACAAACAGGTCTTTCTAGGGTCACAATCTTAGTTCGCGGGGGTCTTTGATAAATCCGTCGGTTTATCTCGGCCGGGGGTCGAAGGTGGTATCCAGCTGTCTCTCTTTTATCGTTCACCTCTTTGCCAAACAGGCGATATTGCGTCAGCACGTCGTATGACCCTATAAGGGGGCTCGTCCGTCGGTTCGAGAAGAATTTTCGCGATAAATTGGCGAAGCTGGCCACTCTCGCCTGACTCTAAACCTTTTTTCTTTTCTGCCACATTTGTCAAATGCCATAATTCACGGCTACAAGACAAACAGGAAGCTTAACTATTACATCACGTCTCGTCTAGTTATGATCCTGCTGATAGTGTCTACATTAAATTATAAGCATTGTTTTTCTTCTTTTTTATAAAAATAGCATCCGGTTTGACAAATAAGGAAACAATTTTGGTTGAAGCTATTGTTTTAAGATATAAGATTTAAACATATAAATAAAAAAACATCATTACGAAAAGTTGGGAACGTATTTGTCAGATAAAACCCAGCAGTAAAGACGTCCTCCAGTAGGTGATCGATAGCAATCAACAATTAAAAATATCTAAAATTTTTTATAAATTTCAAACTCGTAAAGTTGTATTAAGTCAGAAAACTTCCACGGCGTATGAATTTTATGGTGAAGAAGCATGTTGGAAACTGATTAAATATTGAATTTTTTGATTCAACGAGCATCTAGTTATTTCCAGTTTTTTCGAGTTTACACAATTTAAGGACAATGCACAGTCGTAAATTTGTTAAGTCAGAGTTTTACACAATATGAGCCTTTACACGAACTGTGATAATCAAGAAGTATTACGAAGTGGTCTGCTATTTCTGACTAACTGATACTACCATAGCCAGGTAACGAGTGTGCTGTTTCGAAAAGTCTTTTCGGTTTACTCTCTAGTGTTAGTTGATTATAATGCAAATGTTCACATCAAAATCAGAAAGTAAGGAACAAGATTGCGAAAAAAACTTGTCAAAGTTGGATAAAATCCAAACACATTGACAATAATGGTTAAACAAAATCTATCTTATCTGCAGCATTTTATATTGGTTTCTGTCTTTCTTTGTGTTTGTGTATTCAGTTTTTTTACAATAATCAATTTATTATATTGCAGAATAATCATTATACTTTTTAAAGATTATATGGAGATCGTGAGATGCGGTCTGGTGGGGCGTAAGTTTAGAAAAACATTTTCTTTATCTCGTGCCAACGTTTCGATCTTTATTTAGATCATCTTCAGGATTTATAATAATGGGATTTATAAACATTGTTTAAATTATGCAAATGGTGTAAGATGTGAAAAATGAATTTATACAATGATAGAAATTTTAGATTCAAAGTATTTATACTCACTGAAAGTGTTTGTTTTCTGTGTAAAAACACTGAATGAGTACAAATACTTTGATCGAATCTAAAATTTCTATCATTGTATAAATTCATTTCTTTACACCTTACATGTATTTGTATAATTTAAACAATGTTTATAAATCCCAGGCCTTGAAGATGAGCCTGCGATCTTTAAAATTCAATTCCTTGAACATGTTGGTCTTAGGAGAGTTTTGGGATTGAGCGAGGTGTACGATGGTCAAGTAATTAAGCCAAAAGATTAATTTGCATATGTTAGTGTCCTGTCATTTCAATATTGGATATTATGAATACGAAATGATT